AAAAAAAAAAAAGAAGTGAGACATTTATAATTTCATTTAAGCAAAATTCTCCTAGAATGTAATAAGCTTTAAAGGGGAATTTTAACCCATATGTGTAAGCCTTTTGTATGTAGGAGGGAGATTGTTATAGCAATATTTGTTTTTAATATTGGAAGTAACAGTTGTATTAACAGTAGTAGCTAAGTAATAAGAAGTGCTTTTCTTATGTTATCACTACTATAATCTTTCCAGCAGTCTTATTAGATAGAAGCTATTGCTGTACCTATTTCTGTGGATGGGGAAATTGAACTCAGAGAAATTAAGGGATTTAATTTCAAAATTATGAGGTTCAAAGCCATGTGGCTAGTGACAGAACCAGCATATATAATCAATTTAGTTTAAGATGTAGGGTTGGTAGCTGGATCTGGTGGCACACCCCTGTAATCCCAGCACTTGGGAGGGTGAGGCAAGAGAATCACTGTGAATTCAAGGCCAACCTGGACTAATAAAATGAATTCAAAGCCAGCCTGAACTGCATAATGAAATCTTATCTCAAAAAAAAAAAAAAAAAATCCAGGTGTGGTGGCACAAACCTATAGTCCCAGCACTTGGGCACCTGCAAGCACAAAGATCATTAAGAGTTTCAAGCCAGTCTAGCACACAAAGTGAGCTCAAGGCCAGCCTGAACTGCATGGCAAGGCCTGTCTCAAAAAGAGCCCCACCCCCCCCATTAACTGTTTGGATTATTTCTGATTGTTTTCTAAAAGAGGAAGAGAAAGATATAATGGCCAATGAGACTTGATTCTCAGCAGAAAAATCAAAAGTAGATAAAAGATCAGAGTAGAAAAAGAAGTAAAAAAGCAAACCAGGAACAAGTAGTTAAAAAAAAAAAAAAAGTAACTGTAAGATTATGCCAGGCATGGAGGTGCATCCCTATAATTCTAGCACTCTAGAGCTTCAAAAAAAAAAAGTAACTGTGAACTTTACTTCTTTTATTCAAGTTTATTTGCACTTAAGGAGATGAAGTGTTCCTGCAGGTTAAATAGAGCCTTGCTTTGAAAAATAAAGTAGGTAGCAAGTAGTATAGCCACAGTAGTTATATATGACTTCAGTTTCTTTCACTGACTGTAAAAAACTTGGTGACATATGCAGATTCTTCGGTATTCTACCTGAGGATAATTCAGTTTCTAGCAATTGTTACTCAAACAGCAAACATTTGAATGGACTCTAATGGATTAGGATTGTATCTTTTTCTGTCCTCTTTTTGTGTTGTTAGTCATATGAAAAACACTCTTATGTTACCAGCTAATTGTTTCACTCTTTTCTGTCATTCTTCTTATCTATCTTCTAGACAGATTTTGAAACAGAGATTTGAGAATGGAAGAAAAGGTTTTAAATTGTTTTCTGGCATCTGGCAGGGGATGTGGGTAAGGCATGTCTTTTGGCTCTTATAAATACTTGTAAGCAGAGTTCTAATCAGATTAGGCTAGTTGTTTGATCCCCTAAGTAGGCCCTGTTGCATTCAAAAGCCTATCTCTAAGCAATCACATCAAATATAGAGTTCACACACACACACACACACACACACACACACACACAAAATATATATATATATATAATATATAACATACATCAATGTATACATATATCAGGGAAAGAGAAACTTGTATAAATACTTCGGTACTAAATTTATTGAGGCATCATGAGATTAATACAAATTACTTTTGGTGTCTACAAATATGAGGGGTGGAGTGGTGACCATTAGCTTCCATACATTTATTGGTATGATGAACTGCTGAAGTATGTATACAATTTTTTAAAATATTTTTTGTATACAGTTTTTTGACAGACTCTTTTTCTTTTCAAGGGAAGATAATTGAATTTGAGCCTATATCTACTCTAGGCAGAGTTCATATTGTGAAGGGTTAGCACTATCCTTACAGAAGAAAAATAAAGTAAAAAGACAGCCCATTGCTTGGAAACCACAGAAAACGCTTCAGCTAATATTTTTCTCAATTCATTTTCTAATCACCTAGTCACTTTGTTGGCTGTATTCTCTCCAAAATAGCTGTCACTAATAAGAATGTAGCTTCTTGCCTAGGAGCTAACACTTAGTGATTTCAGCTGGTATTTCTCTTTATATTTATATCTTGATCTTTGAAATGATCTTGTTTGTATTACAGAGCTCTCATTTGGATGACAGTGAATCAGCAGCGATACTTTGCTGTGAATGTGAAGAATCAGAAATCTTTAGTGATTTCAAAGTACGTAGGTATATAGTTTTATAAAGATTTTCATGACTCATATAAAAGATTTTTTGGGGAAGTGGCAAATTTGGCTTTTTTTTTTTTTTTTTTTTTTGTATTTTAGGGAAAGGTCTGCAGGGTGTTCAGGGTCTTACTACTAGGTCAGACTCATAGTGATCCTCCTATTTACAGCCTCCCAAGAGCTGGGATTTACAGGCTTACACCACCATGCCCAGTCTCAGTTGCTGTCTCAGTGTGCCCTGGGGGTGGGGCCTGCATGGCAGGCCTGGGGATTGAACCCCCAGCCCCTGTGCCTGCTTGCAGGTGCTTTAATCCGCTGAGCTATTTGGCCACCCTGCTATAAATTTTGTTTATCCCATCTAACCTTTAGCATAGTTTTCTAGGAATCAGAATGAACATAGAAAATAATTTTAAGATCCGGGGAAATAGCTCGGTGGCCTAGGCACCTGCCTGGCAAACACAAGGACCCACGTTTGATCCCTGGTACTGCATGCTGTGCAGGCCATGGAATCCCAGCACATGAACCACAGAAATCAGGCATGGTGGCACACCTCTGTAATCCCAGTGCTGGGGAGGCCGAGATGGAAGGATGACTACAAGTCTGAGCTGTGTAGCAAGACCCTGTACCAAATAAATAAATAAATAAATAAATAAATAAATAAATAAATAAATAAATTTTTGAAAAAAGAATTTTAAATGATTTATTTTTATAGATATTACAGTGAGTGGTGAAATTAGTCCAGAGAGTCTCAGTATATCCTGAGATCTAACTAAATTTTCCCTTTTCAGTAGCTTTTTCTTTTTCCTTAAAAGGATATTCAAACGTCTTGGAGTGAAGGGAAGAGCAGTGGGTAGGGAAATTGAATGAACTCTGTAACTGTCAATTATATATATTTTCTTTGAGCCAAAAAAGAAAGATAGAAGAAATCTGAGCAATTCTGGGCTACAAGAATGCAGACCTAGTCCCAATTACTGTACATTTATGACAATTAGAAACAAATAGGCCCAGGTTTCTTCACTCTGCTTCTCCTTTCAATCCAGATGTCTAATTTACACTTTTATCTTTTTGCTTACCCCTAAATCTAAATTAAAGTCTGAGATGATGATACCTTGGTTTTAATTGTACTGATCTTTACTATGCAGCCTATGGAGATTTGGAATGACACATTCCAAATGCAGATTTGAAATGAGGAAAGATTTTATACCAGCATAGTGTTGGACTGTCTTACCCTTAGGAGACTAGGATGGCGTGGTAATTTTCCCTCCATTTATATGAGCAGCTCAAGATGGTTTGTATCAAATTGAAGCTTATAAACATGGCAACCCTTTTTCTCATTTGGAGATTTGTTCCATGTCTTGCTGTATAGTGAGTCCTACTTAACAAATTCTATAAAGCAGAGTTAACATGCCTTATGTAAGCTGAATTGCAAAACTTTTTTAACTGTCTAGCTCATTTGATTTTTCTCCCCCAGGATTTTACTGGACTTGATCTTTTCCAACACATTGTTGAGTTTCCCTACTGAAAAATCTGTCAAAGTAGGCTGTACCTCTCATGTATGTTACCATAGTATTGCCTGGCCTTTGGCTGTACTTTATCTTCATGGCACAATTTTAGAACTTTAACATATTATACTGACCAACCTGGTTATACTTCATTCCATGTTGATGAAGCATCAGGAATGGCATGAATTCAGTTATGACTCACTAAAAGCTGAGTTGTGCTCATGTCCCTAATATTTGAAAACATTAACTGATGAATCCACATGAACACTCCTTTGTCATCAACATTTAGCAGATGACAAACAATGTGTGTGAAGGTTATATATTTTTCCCAATGTTGAATGATAAGAAGGGTGAGTGCCAACATCACATATCACCTGACAGCTATGAGTGAGCTCATTAACAGACAGCAGCATCATTGATGGAATATGTACCAGTCCCTTTATATAATATCCTACAAGATTTATTTGTCAAATCTGTAACGGCATTCTGTGAATTTGACTGGCTCATTGTTTTGGCTGATTTTGTTTTGAAGAGACCAGTGCATAAGAATATACATAAAAATATTTTTATTAAGTTGGACACATAGGGAAAGGGCAACTCTAGTTTTAATGGTTTTTCTGCCTTAGCAAGAATTAGTTAGGTATATGTACTTAGAAATTATTCTTGATTGCATTATTGCCAGAACTTTCATTTGAGTCATATTTGTTGGTTTTTTCTTCTCCAAAAGGCAAGAATGGTTAAATGAATTTGACTGACTCTTTGAAGGTTTTAGATCTTCCTGTTTTGCTTCCTCAGGGAATATTTCCCATCCCCCTTCCCACCCTTCAGATCTCGGTACTTCCTTTCCCATGTGAAAGGGAATGAAGAGCTGACTCCACTGACTACTCAGACTCCAGGACCAGAAAATTGTTAGAAGCAGCTACTTGTTTCTCTGCTGTACACAAGGCTGTTGGAGAGAATGATTGTCTGCTTCAGAGCAGAGTGACAGTGTGACTGGAAAAAGTCACAGAAGATACGGGCCGTAGCTGCAGAAATTTAATGTTAACTCCAGATAAAAAAGAATGTCAGTAGTGACTAGAGCAGAGTATGGTGGGAATAGCTGTAGTAGCCACTCACACTCTTGAGAGTCCTAAGGTTCCTCTCTATTGTCCTACATATGCAGCCTAAAAAGAGATAAAGCTCCAGAGAAGCTGGGATTACAATCTTTATAATCAGGGGGCTCAGTCAGGAAGAAGTGGATTGATTATCATTATAGAACTGTTTCTTCCTCAGCCTGGTGGTCAGGAAAATACTTGCTATATTAGTTTATTTCCCAAGAATAAAATATTTAAAAATTTTTCTCATTTCCTATTTTCTGTCTACTGCCCCTACCCAGCCATATAGAAGAGTTTATCATACTGTTTTCATGTTCTGTTTCATTTTTGCTTGCCCTCATTTATTATGTTCTTGTAGGGATGCATTTTCCCTCTGTACAATCAGAAAAGCTTTTGTTTGAATGAAAGGAAGCGATGTTAACCTTTCATATTTTTTAAGAAAGGAAAAAGAAAAGGTCAAGCTTTCAAATCAAACGTGGAGAAGACAAAGAGAGAAAACTTAAAATGTAAGAATTACTTGATTTGCGCTAGGGATGTAGCTCAATGAGCCGTAGAGTGCTTGCTTGGCATGTGCAAGGCCCTGGTTTTTTTTTTAAAAGAAAAAAAATTAGTTTGTAATTTTTTATTTATCTGTTTTGGTTGTTCTGAGGATGGAGCCCAAGAATTATCATGCTAGGCAAACACTCTACCACTGGGCCGCATCCCTTTCTAGGTGAGGACATGGTCTCAGAATATGGCAATATCCATTCATTTATCCATTTATGGTACTAGGGGCTGAACCCATGGCCTTCTCATTGAGCTACATCCCCAACCCTTTTTTAAAATTTTGAGAATAGGTCTAAGTTGCTAAATTGACCAGGCTGGACGCAATCCTTTTTGAGCCTCTCAGAATTCTGGATTGCAGGCTGAAACAACTGCACCAAGCTAACAGTACAGTACTCTGGTTTCCCTTCAGATTGTATAAATCTTTCATCTTTTACTAACAATACTGTACATTTAGAGGTCAGCTTCTATGAGATTTTTTACATGGAGTCATTTTGTGGGAATAGATTTGAAGAGAGAAATATTAACCTAAAAGCAAGTTCAAGGTAAAGTCAGGGCAAAGGGTATAGCTCAGCAGCACAGTGCCTGCCTGCCTGCCTGCCTGCCTGCAAACAAAAAACAAAGAAATAAGATTCACAAACAAATCAATCAATCAATCAATAAGACAAACATCATATCTGTATGACAGTAAAATGAAGAGTTTAAGAATTTTTAAAAAATTATTAGCTTCGGGGCCAGTGAGCTAGTTCAGCAGACTATAGCGCCTGCTTAGTCAAGCTAAGGCAAGTGCTGGGACTGTTGTTGGATCCCTGGCACTACATGCCACACCAGCCCCTCCCCCACAGGCTGCCTGAGCTGGACACAGAGTCTGGGCGTAGTGTACACTTACAGTCCCTGCACTGGGGAGGCTGAGCTGCATGGTAAGACCCTATAACAACCAAATACATTTTTTAAAAAAATTATCATTTATCTTCAAGGCCTGTTGTGGAACAGCCAATTTTTATGGATAAAAGATGGAAGAGAATTTATTCTCCAGTTGTCTTCCAAACATCTTGGTTTTGTTTTTTTTGTTTTTCCCTTTGGAGGTAGTCTGATTCAAATTATTATACTGGTAGGAAACCTCTTGTACCATTAAACTTACTTTACTTGTTTCCAGGATAAAATGTAAAAAAATCACAGTTGGCTGTTTATTCCAGAATAATTATTATGATTTTTCTTTTATTTTTAAAGATCTTACCCTTTTGAGTGACATTTGAGGGGTGAAAGTTGTAGTAATCTTAGATACAAAGCTCATGTTCCAAATTACCTTAACTCGGTGGTTCTTAGTGTGGCTGCACATTAGAATCACTTGGTCTTTTACAAAATAAGCACAAGATAAACTGAACCCCACTTCAGTTAAATCAGGAACTCTGTGAGTAGGATGCACATACTGTTGGTTTTTTAAAATGTCCCCATGATTATTCTAATGTGAATCTGAATCAAGATTTAGAACCACTGGTTTAATTCTAGCTACACTAATCTTTACACCTTCAAATAAGAAGACCAGTCTGCGGTATTATAACATCTTTCTCCTAACAGCAGATGAAACTTGAAAGGAACTAGAATATTAAGAAACTGTGTATTTGATTACTCAAGAACCATTCATATAACCTCTATTCAGTAAAATTTCTTGACCAGGCTTTCATTAAAAGAGAAGCAACTTTGAGTGGTAAAAACAGCAGGATGGGGATTTTAGTGACTTTGTGAGACCTTATCTCAAAAGGAGCATGGGTTGGGGAGCTTAGTATGAATTCCCTGGATTTAATTCCCAGTGTAGCACTACTTTTTAAAAAAGGGGATATTTGCTTATATTACTGA